CGAAGATGACAATGAAGAGAATCTGAATTTCTGATAATCGGATTCGTGAAATTGTCAGAGCAGAAGCAGCATTATCCACCATCCAGAAATTGAAAATTCAACAGTAGTTGAGATAGAATTCGAGAACTTCAAGACACTCTACAATAAGAGTATCTCGGACAATAGTGACACAACTTCACCGAAGGTGTGACAAAGATTGATACATACAATCCCAATTCAGGACCTTTAAACAGCGAACTCCACTTAATTTTCTTGAACTCTTTGAATTTCGAAGCGTTCAAGGAATTTAAGATATTCTATAATGAGGTAGTTTGAAACACTGTCACACCCAATCCCACTGATCTGGTTACGAAGACTTGCACATACAATTCCAATGCAAGTGTTCCGAAAACTGAATCCAACTGGATTTCCTTGAATTTCCAATAGCTGGATGATGAATATATCTCCTAAACTGATCATTTTGATGAGTTTCTTTGTACCTTCAGTCAAATATAGATGAATCAAATGTTTGGAATTGTTAATTCTAGATTTTATTTTGATTCATACATGATTCTATATTATTCTATAATATTGTATATGTACGTGTTGTAACAAAGTTATACTTGCAATGTAAAATGTTGTCAAAGCTATGATTTTATAATCAAAGTATATATTTACAATTAGTTTTTTTATTTTTGAATAAATATTAATAAAATTGTTCAAAAAAAATAAAACAATGACATTTTGTTTATGATATATATAAGTGTAGACCTATTTAGGCGACGCTAAGTGTTGTAGAAAATGAAACAGATCTCTAGAATACGATGTTCTAGTTTTAACAACATGTGTGGTTCATATTAATATGAAAAAAATGATTCAAACATGAACAAGTTAAATTTTTATACGATCCGGACTCATATTGAGTCAAATAAAGGCTTCACTTGAGTAGATTGCTTGATAATGATTGCATTCCAATGTTATTTATATATGAATCCGTCGTAAATTATACGAATAGTCAATTTGAAAACAAGAACACATCAACAAGACATCATAGGAATAATAGTAGATAAGGAACGAGATGCGACTTGCGATCTTAGCAGATGTGGGTGTGGGTGTGAGTGGGTGTAGGTGTGGGTCTTCCTTTAAACTTCACCCATATTCACACCCATCCCGCCCTCACACTCACACACAGCCCACCTTCACATTCACACCCACACCCTTACCCATGTCGTATAATTGTTATACATAGTGAAGAAATCAATTAGTTTTGTATTCAATGTCATTCTCGGCCATAAATGCAAGTATTTAATTTTAAAATTGAATTTATTCATCAATATTGTATCCTTTTGAAACTAAAATACAAAAATTACATATATTATTATTAGATCGAAGAATTGTTTCATTATTTCATTTAAATCAACAATTACAAATTTTCATTGTTCATTTTTTCAGATTTCTATTTATACGGCAAATTCAAACTAAATTGTTATGATTATCATGAATAACGATAAAAACAGTACTGTTTTTCCATATCATTATAAAATTGAAATTATTAGGACGAAAGATCGAACACCACCAGTATTAATTGATTTTTCAATAGCTAACTATTTACCAAAGAGTTTACTTTTAACGATTCTTGAAAATAATGATAAAAATATTGATGATACAAAAAAAAACACAAATGTTGAAGAAGAGTCATTGAAATTTAGTGATATAGGCCTGACATTATTTGATCATGTCTTTTTTTTAGAACAACAAACAAAATGAAACATCACATTTTGTGATTCAGTATAGAAAGAAAAAGATTTTTCGATCTAGATGTTTTATAGTTGTATTTTGGTATATCATTTTTATTTAATATATGTGAAATATCTTCTCTTTGCTAGAATTGTATAATTGTTATTGATAGATGATCAATGGTTGAAGAAGATAAAAAAAAGAAGTAATAGGAAGATATTGCTTTTATTTAATAAGAAATTTTGAAATCATCAGACGTTAATAAATACAAGAAGTGTTCATTATGATCTTTTTGAAGCCTAGAATTTATCTACGAACAATGATGATAAGAGAAATTTCAGCATGATGAAATATCTAGTGTGAGAAAATGTTCTTTTGAAAAGATAAAAATTTATGATAATATTAACGTATTAGTCTTTGTGAAGATTCTGACGCTCGAACACATTTTTCTAGAGGCCATTTAAAAAATTCTTCTAGTCAATATCGATATTTAGCTGATTTATTAGAAATATTTAAATAAAAATGAATGATTAATGAAATTTTTTTTATTAAATCGTTTTGATTATTCTTAACGTTTTCATATTCCAAATGATAAAGTTATAATGATTGCTCTGAGATTTCGTTATATATTAGAAGATTTTAAATCAAGAACAAGTCGTCAATTTTTTCTATGACATGAATCAGACATGCCGATATTAATTAATCTTGGATTTCGATCTCTTTATGATTCTCCTAGGAGAAAAAATAATTTCTTTTAAATAATACTTATCTTTAAAATTTGGTGGTGTTAATTTTTTTTATTTATATGGTTAATACATTCTGACTAAGTTGTCACGAAAAATTATGATTGTAATGGTTTTGACTTAATACTTTTCCAACAATTGGCTATTGATGTTTCGCTATTAGAAGAATTTTTTTCGAATGCAAAAACATCGAATAATGCAATGAATATGGCTGCTTCGATCGACAGAATATCTTCAAGTCACATACAATAATATAAACATTATCAAAGTTTCACATGATGTAAATCTTTCATCTGATCATCAAAATGACTTAAAACAGAAAGAAAAAAAAAAGACTATTATTTCTTCGTTTGCTTGAGGGACATCATCAAATTATCATGTCACAACATTGATATGTCTTTATACATTTAAATATCATTAAAATCAATTACTTTTAGTTTAAAAAAAATTTTTTTTTCATTTTCCTGATTATTATTTCAATTTGAAAAATTTAATTGTTTGTACTTCCTATCGTCTTTTAGTATTATGATTAATCAACAAACTCAACTGATATTTATATTAGACAGACAATTGTATTATTATTCATAAAATTGAAATATTCTCATTTTCTGATTAATTTCTTCTCTTAAATTCTAAAAAGATAACTTATACACTTATTATATTAGATCAACCAACAATACTAATTGATTATAAATTGCAGAGATTGACTAGTGATTAATATGAAAAGCTGTTTAAATACAATATTTTAAATGACATTCTTCATTAGATTGTTATTTGTTTTTGGAAAGAAATTGTTGTAATCAAGAATATGAACAAAAAATTATGTTGACATTAAGACAAACTATAGTAACAACACTAGAGCATCTTTCCATCGAATTAATCTACGAAATATTTATTTACTTCCAATTTCATCAAGTATTTAATATTTTTTCTAATCTTAATTCCTGTATTTATTGCTATCATTAATAACATATCACTTATGCCAGTCTATCTGGATTATAACGGAATGAGATCTATAATCGCCTTATTTGATTATGTATCTCAGATACATTAGCTATTGATAATGGTTTATGATTAGCATCACATGTATCTACATTTAATAACCTGTGCCATTTATCTTTAATCTTTGACAACGGATTCTCATGCTGCTTATACGTTTATAGTTGTGCCAGAAGGTGCTTATTATAAACGAAATTTTTCACTTATTTTCTTCATTACATGTATGTTATCTACTTCTTTCGAAGATACGTAAGTTATATTTGAGACAATCAACTCGTTTTACCATCTGACAGAACTTTTATATCTATCTTTGTAGCTTAAAATCACTTGTACTTCAAGGATCATCAAGCAATCTATTATATTTACAGCTATACACGGACTCGTCTTTGACTATCTAGAGAGCATCCACTGAGACATGGTGATTATAAGTAAGTTTCTTTTTTTTTAATTGAATGTATATTTTAACTTATAAACTCAATGTAAAACGTATTTATAAAAATAAGGTATCTAATTATTTTATAAGAATAAATGGTAGTTAAAAATGTACATAACATATATATATATAAGAAAACTTATTGAAATTATTCAACTATAAGCTTCTATATGCAATTATAGATGAATATATGTAAAAAAACGAGCCATCACAATTGTGTATTTGAAGGTGAGATGAAGATGAAAGTGATTGTTTTTGTTATTCGTAAATTGATTTATTCTTAAAAAAATGAAACATTTTTAGTCCTCTAAAGAGCATTCGATGATACTAATTTAAGAATTGAAATTTAAATATATTAGACTCAAGAAATGAGCAACCGTTGAGAGAGTAGTTTCGATTAGCTCTGAAGACAGGGCGAGAAGTGATTACAAAGAAATTAAAATATTACATGAACTCTTTTTCGAAAAACAAGTGAAAACTTCCATATGGAAAATAGAAATTAATTTGTAATAAACGACAATGTATTTCGAAAACTTACTGGTCATTAAAATTCGGTCAAAGTATTCAAAAACAAGTTTCTGACATTCATCTTGAAACATTTGATACTTTAGTAGAAAGTAACAAAAAAAAGTCATACATAAGATTTATCAAGATGCAAAAATCTTTGAAATAAGTATGACTTTAAACATAATTATAAAGTAAAAAATTGTTGTATGTTAAATTTTCATGAAAAAAATCTATTATTTCTGCATTGTTTAGAAATGAACAGTTTGAATAAAGAAGTACCAAAAATTAATATAGAACACTGACGTAGATAAATGAAAGAAAATTGTCAATAAGAAGTTAAATAATATAAATGATGTATTTTTTATTGTTGCCATATGATTTTGTTGATCCATTACTGTGAAATTAGTTAATCAATTATTTGATCGTGATGTTTTCTTTTCATTGATGAAGTTCAGACTATTGGGAAAGATGACTGATCCCCATGTTCTTCACAATTTACTGTCGACGCTTTTCAGACAATGTTTATATTCGTTTCATGTTAATTGTATCAATTGATTTAGAACTATCTTTAAAAAATATCCATCATATTAATAAAACATCTTCTATTATAGCGGTAACAGTACCAAGAATCGATAAATCTTTGTGTCTATTTCTGTCTACATAATAATGCTGTGCATGGGTATAAACAGACTATAATAGACATGCCTTTAACAGTCAATTTTTTCCTTGACATCAAATTTCATAATCATTCACTGCAACTTATCTTCAAATTCTCGTTTTTTGCAAAGGACTAATCAATGTACGCTAGAACTGGACTGGATTATAGATCAGCTGTTGGTAGTAAAATCAATTTGAAAGAGAAAAATTCAATCTATCTTCTTGACTATACTTCTCTATGCAAATACTTATCAATCGTCTTTCGAAATTAAATTTCTCAATCTTGTTGGCCATTATAAATATGGTGAACTTTATGAAAAAGAATTGCATGATCTACAAAATTCAAATACTTGTTCTTTTCGAACGGAATTTCCTCTCATTCCAGAAGAAGATACACTTTTCGTATAGTTATAGTAAAATGAAACTGTGAATAACTTTTATTTCTTATTCTACTTAAACTTATTGTTAAAAAAGAATTCTACTAAGAATTTTTCAATATAAAAAAAAGCGAAACTTCGTTTCCATTTTGTTTTGTATGTTAAATTAGATAAAAATCTTTTCTTATAATTTTAAGAAAAATCGAATGACTTGAATGTGGATCAAGAGAACAAATATCTATTTTCTTCTTTTGTCAAATAGCAACTGAAGATGAAAAACTTGTATAACTATATATAAATGAATATTTCCTAATGGTAGTTCATTATAATATTAGTTACGCACACAAACGAGAAATTTTTTGTTTAATTAATAACAGATTACTGAAACCACTTCTAGTTGCCTAAGAATTATTTTTAGAATAATATGTTGTTGAAGTTATCCTAAATATGATTGTCTATTTGTTAAACTCTAGACTTAATTCTATAATGTTAACATCTTAACATTAAATACATCTAGACGATTTTTATTATAAGAAAAATTTGATAGAACAACTCCGTTATGACTGAAATGTAGAAGTTAGATATCTTTATTAGTTTTATTATCTTATTATTTTTTTAAATAAGTATTGAATTAAATATCAAATATAACTATTGCTAAGATATCGAAAATCTTTACTATTTTTAGAGAAAAAAAAAACAGCATACAGAATCGCCAAATATATTTTGGCTATGAGGAGTACAAATCTAATGACAATGATATCTTCAATGACTTCTCCATCAAAAAAAACTCTTCGAGAACGGAGTTTAGTACTACAATTGGATAGTCCATAGAGTGATGATGAGTTATAGAATTGTCAAAATTTTCAGAATTTTATTGATAAAACTAGGCACCATTGCCACGAGTGGTCAACTACAAAAATATATAGCTCTCAGAAAATTTTTTCATCTTTCAAGCTTCGTAATGCTTTTTTTGCTGATTGTTTTGATAAACAAAATTAATTCAATTAGTAAATAACGATGCTAGCATCAAGTTATTGAAAAATCTCAAACTGGTTTTATTGATAGATTCACCTCTTGTCGCGTGCTTTATGGCATATGATATCAAAATATATTATAAACTTACTGTGTAGAAATAAAATACTTTTATATGTTTAACTACCAAACAAAACTTACAGTTCAACCAGATGATTTTACTTATCATCTTTACAAACATATTCTAAAAATTACTTTTGTTATTTATTGAAGAAATATTCTTTTCATTTTATTCATATTATGTGTTTGCTAAAAAATGAATTTCATATTAAATGATTTTGA